GGTGTTATTTTCCACTTTTATAGAGGAGGAAAATGAGGCACAGAAGAGGCTCATTTACTCCTAAATCTTTGTTGAGCATCTAGTATGTGCCAAGCACAACAGCCAAGATAATATAACTTTTGGGTGGAACTTTACGTGATGGACAAGCAAATTTTAACACATACTGCTCCTAAATACTGCACAACAAAGAGGCCAAACTACTGGCATGCCAAAGAACTACCACCTTGACCCACAGCCCCCTTTTGACCCTTACACCACAGTATCGAAACAGCAAACTTCTCTCACAGGACCTTTTAACAGGATTAATGAACATATCAGATTTGGTTTAGGCAAAATACCATTAGGAGTGTAATTCGCAGATCTGAAGTTCAAGGCATTTAAGAAATCCCCATGCCTGTGGCGTGGAAGTGGATGGCATGACCCTGGGGTCAGCAGCAAGGCTTTCTGTGCTGCTGTTTCTTGTCGGTAAAACGCAACACCAGGAAAGGGCCTGGCCGTGCTGGGAGGAGAACTGTGGTGTGGTCGGAAAAATGTGTTAGGTACCGAGCTTCCATGGGGTGAAGATCTTACCTGGATCATGTCTGAGCTCTGTAGTCAACGACCCAGCGAACGTAATTTGCTCAAGGTTATGAGGAAAGACTTACATTTCGTGAATCCCAGGAAGAACACTGACTAACCTTCACCATACCCCAGAGCAAAGATTTTAAAAGCCAGTTTCAGTGTGGAGGCTTATTGTTGCTTGGTAAAGCGAGTGGATGGGAGAGCTTTGGACCCTCGCCTGTCCAGAGACATGGTAGGGTTTCATAAGGAGTAACAGCATGCTAGAAGGTTTCAGCCAAGACTTTTCCTACAGCTAAAAGCCACTGGAAAACACCCACACCTACTTTGGTAGCGCACAACTACTGACCCGCACAAATAGTAACGTAGGGGAATGAGCAAGTAGTCACAGAAAAGTAAAGCTCAGTCCTCACGGTTTTTTTTTTTTAATCTTTTTTTTTTTAATTTTTTTTTTCAACGTTTATTCATTTTTGGAACAGAGAGAGACAGAGCATGAATGGGGGAGGGGCAGAGAGAGAGGGAGACACAGAATCAGAAACAGGCTCCAGTCTCCGAGCCATCAGCCCAGAGCCTGACGCAGGGCTCGAACTCACGGACCGCGAGATCGTGACCTGGCTGAAGTCGGACGCTTAACCGACTGCGCCACCCAGGCGCCCCAGTCCTCACGGTTTTTTGTTCAACTCCTGTGCAGTGGGCTTTCCAGTCTGACGGCTCCTGTTCTTGAGCAGCCAGCTTTACTCCCGATGGGAAGTCAGAATTTATGGGACATTGCACCCATAAATTGTAATCCTAAAATAAAGTACTGTAGCCCTGGGGTCGTGGGAGTAGCTGTTATATTTAGGCCAGGAACGCTTCTTGGGAGAGGAGAATGTGGGGTGGCGTTAACAAAAGTCTGGGGATGAGCCCTTTCATCTTGAGAAGCGGGGGACAGATTACTATTAGTGACCTCCTTTATGTGAATTTAAGTATCTCCTTGAACTCACACGGTCCAGTTGTCTGGGAGGCTGTAGACCTGTATGTGTGTAAAACTAGGATGAAAATATGGGCAGAGTTAGATAATAACTAATGCCACACGGTAAAGCAAGAGTGTGGGGCAAGTCTCTGCGTTCTGGATACATATCCAGGGTTAACTCCATGGGGATGGAGAAAGTAGGGGTGAATCTTTGGACTTGGAGCTGAACGTCTGGGGCTCACGCCTTAGGTCTCCCACTCACTCGCTGGGTGACCTTGGACAATCCCTTATACCCTGAGCTTACTCATAAAATGGGACTGATAACCAACTCTGACTCCTCAGGAATACTGAAAATCAAAACGACCTAAATGTTGGATTCAAAAACTATGACAGTAATGTGACGCGATGCAATTAGAGAATAAAGGAAATACTTTACTACACATTTCATTTCATTCGTATCTCGACAAAAAACCCTAGAAAATGCACATTAGCATTTCTGTTCTACAGAGAATGCCGAGAGGGTCCTAAAGTCCCGACTCCTCTCTGCGACTTCCAATGTCCTCCCCGCACGAATGACGATCCCAACAGGCGGCAGCCGGGCGAGCTAGGACCCGAGGAGCTCGTTCAAAGCACCAACGCGGGGCGGGGTTGTTGTAAATTAACACGCGATGGGGCTGTAAACTGAGGCCGCACGTCGGGCGCAGAGATTATTAAAAACAACTTAAAAAGTAATTAACACGCGCGAAGGCGACATAATAGATCGGTGCACCGTGGGGCTCGGGAGGAGAAAGTGCAGTGTCGCCTCCCTCCCGGGGCCACCGGGGCAGGACGGGTGTCAAGCGGTAGCTAGATGGTGAATCCCAGGCTTTTCCGAGGCGGCAAAGTCCTGGGAGCACGACGCGTTGTTCCTCCCGTGGCGCTGCTCCCCAGCCCAGAAGGGGCCACCAGGCGACAGCCCGGGAGCCACGAACCGAGAAGCCAGACGAGCCTCGCCAGCAGGACCGTCAGGCCGCGGCGCGCCGAGCTCGACGCCGGAAGCCCGAGTCGCACGGAGCGGAGACCGAGGGCCACCTGCCCAGACGACGAGTCCCGGCGGCCACAACCCGCGCGCCTGCGCCGACCGGAAGAGCCGCTGGAACCCTCCGCGGTCCCGGCATCCCCCGCGGTCCCGGTATCCTCCGCGGGGCAAGATGGCCGCGGCAGGGACGGCCCCGGAGGTGACGGGGTGCTAGGCCGTACGTCCCTCGGCCTCTCCCGAGGGCCGAGGGGGTCCGAAGAAGTGAGCTCACGGCCCAGCCCCGCAAATGCGTGTCGGCTTTTCTTGCCGTGGCCATGGGGACGTCCCAATAAAGCCTCTGCCCTGACAGGCAATTCCAGCACCTCTCAGCCCTGATCTGGAACCTCCCGAGGGCTGCAGTGTCAGCGCTCCGACGGGGCGCGAGGCCAGTCCCTCCGTCCCCAAAGGCGCGACCCCGAGCACCCCATGCCTACAGGCGCAGGGAGGCGTAGCCTCCCCCAGGGCAGCCACCTGTGCTGGTTGCTCTGCGCTTTCACCTTGAAGCTCTGGTAAGGAGAGGCTGAGGGCTGGGAAGTGGAGGGGGCGGGAGGATCGCCTCGTCCACGCCCCTGGGGGGGACGGAGTCCGGGAGCAGGCTCCGCGGAGGTCGGGAGTTCCCTGTTTGCCGGCTTCTGACTCTTGCCTCCCCACCCCCACCCTTCCTCCCTCCCTGTCGCTGCAGCCAAGCCGAGGCTCCGGTGCGGGCGGAGAAGCTGTCAGGTGGGTGCTGGTGTGGTAACCCGACACCCCCATAGTTCTGTTTTCTTTTGACGTCCTCCCCTTACCGGGAGCACCGGTGGGATGGGAAGGGGTGGCGCCACGCGAAATGAAGGCTTTTAGCTGTGCTGGGAAGTCGGATGGGCGGAACCTTTGGGGGAAATACCTTCTGGGGCTGGGGCTGGCATTTCTCTCCCCTTTTAGTGAGCACCTCAAATTTGCCGTGCTGGCTGGTGGAAGAGTTTGTGGTGGCAGAAGAATGTGCTCCGTGCTCTAATTTCCAGGCTGTGAGTATCTGTTGTCCCGTTTTTGTCATATCTAGTCCCTCTCGGTTTTAGGAAATGGGACTTTGCGTCGTCTTTGTGTTCTTGCAGTTTCAGTGTATGTCCACATTGGAACTTGTTTCCCCCTTAAAATGTGCCCTTTCCTTTCTAAGTCAATGGCAACGTTCATCTAATAGTCCTATTCATAAAAAAGAAAGAAAGAAAAGAAAAGGAAGAAATCTCGGTGCCCAGCTTGGGGCTGGAACTCACAACCCTGAGATCACGAATCGCAGGGTCCACCCACTGAGCCAGCCGGGTGCCCCAGTCATGATCATTTTTAATCCAGCAGGCTCTGGAACCTGCCCCTGAGGTGTTCTTTTTAATGCATTTCTCATGCCTCCGGCACATCCAGCATCCCCATCAGAACCCTTGTTGGTTCTCTGTTGACCACCAGCTTGGAGCCATACCAGTTGGGCACCTGCCCCTTCTGAGTGACACTCCTCATGCTTTTGCTGCTGCCCTTTCGTGACCTGTTCTTTGGTTCTTTTCTCCTGACAGAAGACCACTCCTGAGTGTGGTTCCACAGGGTACGTGGAGAAAATCACATGCAGTTCATCCAAGAGAAATGAGTTGAAAAGGCAAGTACCATTTCTCTTCTTGAAACCTAGGTCAGCTCCTTTGTTCCTGTGATTTTAGGTAGTTCACCCAGGTCTTTCTGTCCCTCTGGAGGTAGCCTGGCATATTGGAAGGGGGGCAAAGTATGTGAACCCAAGTCCCAGTTCTGTTTCTGGATCACTGGTCCTATCGTGCGGGTTAATGCCAGCTCTGTTCATGACCACACCAGAAAGAAGCCGGATGATATATTTGAGTGGGATTTGTGTGCGGTGAACACGTTAGAAGGCTTCCAGTAGCTCTCTCTTTTCCCGCCAGATGTGTCTTGGTGGGGCTTCAGTAGAAGGGCGATGAGAGGGAGAGGTTGTCCAGCGTTCCCTGGGAATAACTGTTTCTTCCTGCCCTTAGCTGCCGCTCAGCTCTGATGGAGCAGCACTTATTCTGGAAATTTGAAGGGGCTGTCGTGGGTGTGGCCTTGGTCTTCGCTTGCCTTGTCATCGTTCGTCAGCGACAGCTGGACAGAAAAGCTCTGGAAAAGGTCCGGAAGCAAATCGAGTCCATATAGTGACCTTCTGCCCTTTGACAGGGGTCTTTAGGGACCCTGCCTCAGACAGAGACTTGTGCCCCTTATTCTGGGAGACTGGTGGTGGCGCCCCTTTCTGCGTTTCCTGTCTAGATCATTAACCAGCAAAGTAAGTAGCATGGTTCCCTTCCCTATTGTAATTTGGTTTGGGACCGGAAGTCATGGCAGCAGGCATGGAAACGGTGGCAACTTTACGCCCCAGGTTACCGACTACCTATCTTCTTCTCCTGCTACTTATTTAAAACTTTCAGGATACAATTTCAGCAAAAAAGTTTATTTCTCAGCCAAAACCTGTTTCCCCTCAACCCTAACCCCAAAGAAGAAATAAAGTTGCAGATGTATAAAGTATTTGAAATGCGTCATGTAGCCTGTGCCTCAGGGTACAGACACTTAGGACGTCCAGAAATGATTCAGACCCTTGAAGCCAAAGAATACTGAATGGGAAACCCAGGGGGAACAAGAGCCACAAGGGATCCTGGATTCCCTCTTGTGGCCGGGAAGCAGGTGGGTTCACATCTCTTCTGCATGCAGCACAGCTCCTGCGTGCCCATTGGAGCCTGTCTTCCCTCCCATCTTCTCAAGCAGTGTCCTTGTTGAGCCATTTTCACCCTTGGTCTTAAGTGGCCCCCCCGGTCTGGACTCTACTACTGTGGTCTCCAAACCTTCTGTCATGTCCTTGTGACTTAGGATATTTCTGGAAACCACTGTGGGTGGAGGAAGAAGGGCAGTAATAGAGTGTTCCCTTCGGTGGGGGATCCTAGAGGACAGGACTTCCCTCCCCCATCTTGACTACCCTGAAAAACAGCTCCCCCCTGCCCTTGCCTCACCTCCATGAGGCTGGTAATCCTCAGGCCCAGCCTCCCGGAGACCCTGAAAGGGGCTGACACTGGGCAGGATGATTAGAGCCAGGGAAAAAAGAAGGATCTGGAGAAAACAAAAGGTCCTTTGGGCTGTGGGGACAAAGGCAGGGAGCCAAGGGCAGAATGAATAGAGAGCGGTTGGAGTCATCAGGGATGGGAAGGCGGGTGTGGTCAGGGCCGGGGGTGTCGGGATGGAGGCAAAAGATGGTGGACGTCAGGGGGTCGGGCAGCAGACTGACCACGACACAAGTGCTGGTCTGGGCAGCTTTGTCGGAGGTCCGGGCAGCCAGCAGCTGCAGCTGGCGGAGCTGAGCTACCAGGGAGCTGGGGAGGCAGAGTGGAGAGTCAGGGCTCCGGCACCAGCACCGGAAGTCAGGGCGCGAGAATGGTAGCCCTGACGCCAACCCCCTCCTGCCTACCTCCCCCCCCCCCGGGGAGCTCCCCCCAGCCCCTACCTGGGCCCGCCCTCCCCAGAGGAGCAGGTTATGTATGCACTTACACGTTGCACCTCTCCAGCTCCTGGACTTTTTTCTGCAGTTCCTGGTTCTGTGCAGAGCAGGCAGCGGCCCTAGGGTGTGTGGACAGGTGGGACAAAGCTCTGCAATCCTGTGGGCCCTGGCCTGCCTGCCCTGGTAAGGAGGCCCACACAGGGCCCACGGAGAGCTGGACACCGATGTCCAGACATACCTGCTCTCTAGCCCATCGATGTACTCTTTCTTCCGCTGCCGACTGTCCTGAGCTGACTGCTTGTTCCGGATCTTCCTCCTGACCTTCTTGAGGACCCTCTCCTCTGCCTGGAGGCCCGGGGGTGTCAGTCCTGGGCCCTTAACCTCCCTCAGCGCCCCACTAGCCTCTGTGGCCTGGCTCTTCAGAGGCCAGGATGGGGCTGCTGTGTTGGGATACCCTTTGGGGAAGCATGTTACCTTGGTGAGGGGCAGGTGTGCGGGCAGGAAAACCCCTTCCTGCCCCAGCAGACGCTTCTCCTCTTCTGTCAGGAACAAGGTCTGACAGGGCAGCTGGTGGAGAACAGGAGAGGGTGAGAGGACAGTGGGGGAGGGTCCTGTCTTTCCCATCACACAAGGCTGCTCCCTGCGTGCCTTCTGGAGAGGAATACGTAACCGTGAAGTGAGGAGGGGCGAAGGGGCCTTAATTCAGACGGGCTCTGTCTGGGGCCTCCTGGGGCTGAGAAGGGAGAGAAGAGGGGTTGTGATATGTCCTTTGCCCCCAGGCTTAGGACTTCAGGACTCTGAGCAAGCTAGGGAGGGCCGGTTCTGGTCCCCAAACCTTCAGGATATCTGAAGAAGGCAGGCAGCAACTCACTAAGGTAAGGTTTGCTTAGAATGGTTCGCTTTTGCCGTTAACTTCCATCTGGCAGAGTGCGATGTCCAGTCAGGGTCAACCACCGGGAGCTCCCTGGGGCAGTGGCCCATTTTCCCCCAGGGTCTGAGCCCCACTTTCTAGATGGAAGCTCTGTCCCCTGTCAAAGAACTCCCCAAGGGCCACCAGACTGAACAACTTCTCCTAACACGGTCTGTGGGGAGGTAGGGGGCGTCTGGTTAGCCTGAGCCTGCCGACAGAGTAACCCGCAGTTCTGGTACTCCTTGAAAGATTTATGCTTCACTTTGACTTAAGAGGAATTTGATGGGGCGCCTGGATGGCGCAGTCGGTTAAAGCGTCCGACTTCAGCCAGGTCACGATCTCGCGGTCCGTGAGTTCGAGCCCCGCGTCAGGCTCTGGCCTGATGGCTCAGAGCCTGGAGCCTGTTTCCGATTCTGTGTCTCCCTCTCTCTCTGCCCCTCCCCAGTTCATGCTCTGTCTCTCTCTGTCCCAAAAATAAATAAATGTTGGAAAAAAAAAATTAAAAAAAAAAAAGAGGAATTTGATTTTGCTTTTGACTCCTGATGATCTTTGGCTTTTAGCCAAACCATTTTTTGTCTTTCTGCCTTTTCCTGATTATCCCTTCCTGCTCCCCTGAAGCCACAAACTCCCCAGTGTTTTGATGCGAATGCAAGCTTAGAAGCATCGGACTTCCTAAGGTCCCTCAGCCCGATTCGGAGATGTTTGGTGTGGATTCTGGTGCCAGCTTCTTCCAGGCTTGCAGGGAGGCCAGAACCCTTTGCCCACAAGCAGCTCTGTCGTCAGACAGTGACTGAGCAAGACCCCTTCCTCGCCCCCCACTGCAGGAACCAGTCTAGCCAGCCTGAGGGAGGCAGCTGAGTGTTGCCCACTGTGCTGTGGCCCTGGGCTGTGGGTGTGGCCGCATGGTGCTTCCAGTGGGAACAGGTCACTTGTGCCCCACACCCTGTGCCAGTCACCAGCTGGGATCCCAGGCAGCCTGCCCCCTCCATGTGCAGACCCCAGGCTGAAACAATGGCCATGCTGAGCAAAGTGCACATACGTTCTGGCCTTTCTCCCGGACCCTGTCTCCAGCCTCCCTCACCCCACTTTCTCCTTAACCGAGTCATCGCCACCTTGCCCCCAAGGGTTTCTGTCTTCCTTGCCCTTTTCTGCACTTAGAATCACCCATGCCTCCCTGGTCTTCAGGCCCAATGCCACAAAAACTGGGACAAAGAGATTAGCATCAGTTTCCCCCTCCCGCAGCCTCCTTCCCCATCTGTGTGGGTGCCTGTCTTTGTATCCAGGAGTACTGGATCTGGCTGGCCAAACTCACCAGGGTCGCAGGAGGCACTGGGTTTACAGTGCCTGCTCCGGGCAGGGTGTCGTGAGCATCACAGGGCAGCTCGCAGACCACGCGGACATCAGGCACCGTCAGTTGTGGGCTCCGCTGACCTGAGGGAGACCCAGGTGGCTAGGAGTAAAGGAGACGAAGGGCACACCCCCACGGCAGCAGGGCCTGGCTGGAGGCACAGGCTGGGAAAACCCCTCGCCCCAGGACTAGGGCTGGGCCTGAAAGGCCACTGTCCCCTTTCCACCAGGAGCACTGACCTGGCTGGAGAGAGATGAACCCTCCAGCTGGCCCAGCTTCCCCCTGCGTCCTCTCCAGGGCCCCTGCCTCATAGACCACCTCATAGAGAGCAGGGGGACTGGGTGCTTGAGGGGCGGGAGGCCTGTCTGGACGGCCAGGGTCCTCAGACGGATGGCCACTGTCGCTGCTAGCAGAGGCTCCTGAGCAGTACACTTCATTGGGGTCAATGAAAAGTTTCAGGAAGTCTTCAGGCTCACTGTCTCGAAGGCCCTGCAGTACCAGAGGGAGTCTATGTGTACAGAGAATTGCAGAGTGCTAACCTGCATCTGGCCTCTTCAGTCCCTTGTGTCCTCGGACACGGGGATGGTTACAGATCACATGTCCTTTAGGGGCTTGGCCTTCAGACGTCTCCAAGTGGAGGCTGAAGCCTGACGGGCCCCTCATCACAGCCGCGCCTCCGCCCACCCCACCGGCATCTCTCCCACTCACACAGCCACGGCCCCCACTGGGCTCCCAGCCTCGCAGCCCCTGTTCTTGGAGCTTCGTCCCCGGGGCCTCCGGAGCTGGGCCGTGCAGTCCCGGCTCCGGGAAGGTCCCTGTTGAGAAAACATCTTCTGGGGACTCCAGCCACGCATCCAGCAGGTCGGGGGTTCGGAAGTCCATTCTGCAGAGAGAGCGGGACCAGGGTGAGGGCGCCCTCCCCCCAGCTCCTGGGTTCCCCGCTCCTCCTTCCACCCTCTCCCTGCCTCACCTGCCCCCGGGGATCTCGCCTCCGGCGGCCTGACGTCTGGCTCAGATGAACGGCCCGCCTCAGCGTTACCTGTTCCCAGAGGCCCAGCCCGCCGGCCGCCCGAAAGGCCACCACCGCGCTTCTTTCCTCCAGGATCTCGCATCCTGGACCAGCCCAGCCAAGCCCCGCCCCCGGCCTGACCCCGGACACTGCAGAGTGGCTGGCGCCTGGCCAGGGGCCACGGCGGGCCCGCGTCTTCGAGCTGGGGGCCGGGAGGCTAGGCGTCCGCAAACCGGCCTTGAGCAAGACACAGCCAGCCTCGCCCTTCGGGCCTCAGTTTCTGCTAGCGACAGCGAGTCTTCCTGAGGGTTTGGACGGGCTCCTCAGGGAAGGACGGCGATGGCTGTGACCGGAGCACACCAAGTGCCAGCTCTCCGGCCGTGAGTTGCGTAAGACGAGAGCCCGGCAGGGTGAAGACAAGACACTGTGGGAAGGCCGCAACCCGACGGCCCGAGTCTCGCCAAGGGCTCCCCTCCCCCGCTCCGAGGCGCTCTTTCCACTCTGGACTCTGATGGGACGCCAGGGGTTTGAAGGGCAGGGTATCGAGCCAATGGGAGCGCCGACTCGAGGCAGGCTGCTCCCCGGGTGGCCAGAGGGCTGCCAAGGGGGCGGGGCACCGCGGAGGCGGGAGGGAGGCGGGAGGGAGGCGGGAGGGAGGCCGCGAGCCCGGCGCCGGGGGGCCGGGGCCGGGGCCGCGGCGGGAGCGGCTGCCTGGCTCCCGGGCCCAGGTTCCGAGCCGGGCGACGGGGAACGACCTGTTGGCCCAAGTAGGAGCTCTGAGCGCGCGGAGAGTGTCGCAAATCCCGTCTGCGCGCCGGGCTGCTGAAAAAGAACAGCGGCTGCACACGCTGGACTGTGGGCCAACGGAGGGTATAATTACCAACAGCATTCGTATAGTTTACAAAATGTTTTCATAAACGCTGTTCTCGCATTTAATCCACAACAGCCCCGAAGGAGACAGGGCAGGTAACCTTTCCCTAACTTCACCGACGAAGAGACAGAGATCCATGATCGCAACGTGGCAATACCGAAGCTCAGGATTGTTGGCCTTGTGACTGAAGGGCCAGGAGGAATTCATTTCAAATTTAGCAATGGAGCTACAATGGAGCTACAGCTATGATTTTTGTCTGCCTGCATCCCCAGTAGTGCTTCGGAAAAAGGGTAGCTCCCTGAGAAAAGCAGGACAGTTTGGGGTGTGGATCCAGATCTCAAACTGATATTTCTCATGAAAATTGGAATGTGCTGAGGGTAAAAACAGGAGCAGGATCCATAGTTATCGAGTACCTATTAGACGGTCAGGCGTTTTCATATCACTCATAATTCTCATAGCAAGTCATAGCTGGAAGAGAGAAGTTACTTTCTCGAGGTTACTCTGTAAGTAGGACCAAGGTTTGGACGCCTGAACCCAAGTTCTTTGTACTCGCTTGTTTGCACTTTCTCAGATTTCCTGCTCATCTTCCTGCATCCTGCTCAAGTCGTCAGGAGAAAAAGCAGGCTTCCTGGACTGATGCAGAGCTCTAAGGAGAGCAGAGCTTCCCCTGCCTGGATCTTTCCTAGAGCAAGGAAGGTTTCAAAGGGCTTCCTACAGGTTGCATGTGGAGAGATGATTAAGTGGAAAATATGGTCAGCTTTCATTAATGTCAGAGCTGGGAAGAACCTTTGGCATCGTCGGCGAGTCTAATTTCCCTCTTTCACCTACTTTATCGTGTTCCTGAGACGAAAAATGACTTGCTTAAGATCACACATCAAATTAAAGTAAAGGGGCACCTGGTTGGTTCAGTCAATGGAGCCTGAGACTCTTGACCTCAGAGTTGTGAGTTCAAGCTCCACTTTGGATGTAACGGCTTACCTTAAAAAGAAAAAACAGAGGCACCTGGGTGGCTCAGTCGGTTGAGCCTCGGACTTGGCTCAGGTCATGATCTCCCGGTTTGAGAGTTTGAGCCCTGCCCTGAGTCGAGCTCTGTGCTGACAGCTCAGAGCCTGGAGCCTGCTTTGGATTCTGTGTCTCCCTCTGCTCCTCCCCCACTCATGCTCTCTCTCTCTCTCTCTCTCTCTCTCTCTCTCTCTCTCTCGTGCTCTCTCAAAAATAAATAAACACTGGGGCGCCTGGGTGGCAGTCAGTTGGGCAACCAACTTCACTCAGGTCATGATCTCACAGATGGTGAGTTCGAGCCCCGCATCGGGCTCTGTGCTGACAGCTCAGAGCCCGGAGCCTGCTTCGAATTCTGTGTCTCCCTCTCTCTCTGCCCCTGCCCCACTCACGTTCTCTCTCCTCTCTCTCTCTCTCCTTCAAGAGTAAACATTAAAAAAAAATTTAAACATTAAAAAAAAGAAAAATAAATAAACATAAAAAAAAGGAAAAACTTTTTTTTAAGTTGATTTATTTTTGAGAGAGGGCAAGTTGGGGAGGGGCAGAGAAAGAGGGAGGGAGAGAGAGAATCCTAAGCAGGCCCTGGCACTGTTAGCACAGAGCCTAAGGAGGGTCTCCATCTCAGGACCGTGAAATCATGACCTGAGCCAAGATCAAGAGTCAGATAGTCAACTGACTGAGCCCCCCCAGGTGCCCCTAAAAGTGGTTTTAGTAAAGCACACAGACAGGACCCATGGGCAGAAAGAGCTGCACTGGGGTTGTGATGGGTGACTGTGACTGATTATATACCTTCAGGTTGGGAGGGGGTTAGGGTCAAAGTGAGTCTCAGGAATTTTGGAAGCAAGGTTCCCAGGACCTGGAAGCCTAGCTGTTGTTAGGAAAAGGTCGTTTATTACCATTTGGCCAGTCACGAGCCCCTTCAGTGTGTATCAGTGGGCCATATGCTTAAAGGATGATTGTTAACAGGTATCTTGGGGGGTAGAGGTAAAGTAAGTTTCCAAAGGAGTTTTTATATGTTAAAGTAGACTTACAGGATCCTGGGGGTGGGGATAATGTTAAGCTAAGGTTGCCTTTCGCCTGAGCAAAGTGTCATCATTGAGGCAGCTGAATTCCTAGAGGAAGGTCGTTTGTCAGTGGGTTGTAGGCAGTAAGATAATTTAATTTGTGTGTGTGTGTTTCCTACATCACTTTGTGTCCTACCCTCCCATGAGGTTAGAAGAGCATTCTGATAGCACAGGGGTTGTGGGCCAAGAGGATCCAGGCTAAGTAAACAATGAGGGTTCTAAGTTGAAAATAACTCTGGTGCATTCAAGAAACAGAAAACAGAAGGGAGGCCAGTAGGGCTGGGGGCAGAGGAGTTCAAGGTGAGTTCAGGAAGAAGCCAACCAGATGCCTTGAGGCAGGAAAGCAGCTCTCCCCCTCCCATCCCTGAGCTGGGGCCCACCAGGTCTCTACTTGCACAGGGCAGCCAGAAGGCTGCACGAAAGCTCAGGCCACGGATAGTCAAGAAGGGATTCCTTTCAAGAAATGCCCCCCTTTTGGAGGCACCTGGGTGGCTCAGTCAGTTAGGAGTCTGACTCTTGGTGACTCTTGGTTTCCGCTCAGATCTCACGGCTGGCGAGTTTGAGCCTGCGTTGAGCCCCGCATCAGGCTCCACTGACAGCACAGAGCCTGCTTGAGATTCACTCTCTCTCCCTCCCTCTCTGCTCCTCCCCTGCTCACACACTCGCTCAAAAATAAATAAACTTGAAAAAAAAAAAAAAGAAAGAAATGTCCTTTCTTTGCTATTTCCCTTTTCCAATTCTGCCTCATCTTTCTCCTTTGTCGTGGGTGCACACGAAAGGAGTCGAGCAAGGAAGTCGGTCCAGGGACGGGAACGTTTTCCCTCGGGCGCCGAGGCCTACAGAAGGGTCTTAGAGCCTCCCAGGGGACAGCCCAGATGGTGCCCGAGACCAGGAAGAAGACCTCAGAGTCGCGGGGGTGGGCCCAGGCTCCAGCCTCGCCCGCGGGCGTCCCAGCTTCCGGCCGACCGGGCCCGTCCCACCGCCCCGGGGCGCCCCAGGCCCGCGGCCCCCGGGCCC